TCTCACCTCTTCAAACCAAGAATCCTCCCTTCTCTCTCCTCTTCCTCTGTGGATGACTTCACCTTCTACTTCAGACAGTGGTGCTCTGATTAGAAGCCATCAGCTGAGAATTTTCTCCCTTTTCGCCTGCCAGCCTCCTCCCTCCTTCCCTTCAGTTACAGGTGAAGAGGTGTCTTCCTTCAGCCAAGGCGTCCTCCTCAGCCCTGCACCCAAGCTCTGGTCCCCACCTTCCTGCCTTCTTGGAACCTCGGGCTTATCATTGTTCCCCCTCTCTCCTGTATCATCAGCCTCACCCATCCTAGAATATTCTCTTAATCACACTTCAAGCATGCTTACTTCTTTCTCACTTCAAAAAAAAAAAAAAAAAAAAAAAAAGGTGGGTGAGTGGGGAGAACAATGTAATTACCAGCTTTTCATTTTGCCAAGTAAGGACTTTGAGACTCTTATCTGCCTCCCACTATCATCTTTTTAATTTTCTTAAGTAAGGAATATTTTAACTTCAAACACAGTTGAAAGGAGATAATGTCAGAATATAAACCTGTAAACGGAATAAATTTAGCTAATAAAGAATTCACCACCTTGTACTTATTTTTCTGTTAATTGTAGGCCAGAGGATCTACAAGCAAGTGGACTAGAAAATATTGGGGGGCTCTTGAAGCTCAGCCTGTCCAGCTACAGGAGCCCAGCAGACAGAAAATGAGCTTTCTCTCCTCTCTGGCTGACACGCCCCTCCATGGCCACAGCCTGGCTCCTTCCAGAACATGTGGGCTTGTACACTGGCCACAGCCACGTCCAGGATAGGGAGGGCTTACCTGGGCCCCTCAGCATCACCCAGGCCTGCTTAAGGTTGTCACACATTTGCACTCCACCCGCCCCGAACTGCAGAGTAACCTCCAGAAGAGGTCACACAGTGCCAGGTTGCAGAAACATCACAGATGCTAAGAGTATTTCATGAGACGCACCAGCTAAACAGGCACGTGTTTCCACAAAATCATCAACACTTTTGTACGTATACAGCAAGGGCACCACGTGCAAGGAAGATGGCCACACCTGGGACTCAAGAGGCCAGGGTTCACATGGCAGGTCTGCCTCCATGGCCTTGAGGAAACCGTTCATCTTCCGTGAGCCTTTGTTTTCATCTGCAAAATGAGTATCATAAAACACATAGTGTTATGTAATCAGACAGCCTGGAATGGTGGCTGGCACATAGTAAGGGCTTTTATGATAAGAACCCTTCCACCATGGAAGAGCGTTTTAATACTGTGTTCTAGAATGAGTGTATGTAGCACAATCCCATGAGGCAGGTGTATTGTCCCAGTTTTACAGATGAGGGACTGAGGCCCTTGGAGGTGAAATGGGTTTCCTAGCTTCTCTTTGCTCACAGTGGCAGAGCCACACTTTACACCCAGGCCTCCTGACCCCAAAGCTCTTACCCTTTGCACTGAAGCCCCCTCAGAGCAGAAGAAGGGAGAAGCCAGATTGCTGTCAGCACTGGAAATCCCTGTCTGTCCTCGCAGGCTCTCAGGGCAGGATTCTGGAGCTGGGCTGGGCCAGGGTTGGGTCCTAACAAGCACTGGAGGGGCCAGGCAGGTGGAGGCTCAATCTCTCACCTTCGCATGCTTGGCCCCATCCAGACTCTAGAACCACAGAGCTTTCAGGAACTGCAGCTGGACATTGAGGCTGGGACTGTGGTGGAATGACAGAAGAGCCCCCAGCAGGGCCCTGGCTTGGACACCTGGCAAGGCTGGGTTGGGGGGTCACTGGTGTGTCTTATAATTATGTTTCTACTTCCTGAGATATTTCTTAGAGACACCCATGGACTCTAGGCTTGAGAGACATTTGCATGAGCAGACACATGCCTGGGGGATGGACAGGTGCATTCCTGGTAGTATAGACCCTTTCTACATCCCATATACATAGCCTTGGGGGTCTTATGAGTTCTTTGGGACTTGGCAGGTGATGGGCTGCAAGAGCCCAGCTGGGTCCCAGGGTCCCCACTGCCCAGCAGCCCTGGGACAGAACTGCAGGGGCCCCCAGGTGAGTGGGTGAGGAGTGGAGCGGGTATGTCTTCAGGTCGCACTCCACCAAGAGAGTGCTTAGTCCCAGCTCTGCACATAAGCCAGCCTGTCACCGGATGTAGGACTCAGAAATTACATGATCATAAGAATGTAACGAGGCCAGAGTGGACTTCCCTCACCACAGCTTTCGTGCGGATGTGTTCCATGCCAATACGCTGACTCTGTAACAGGCCCACGGGGCTGGCTCAATGTCCCACACACAAAAACAGAGCCCTTGGATCATAGATCCTGGGCCTGGGGTACAGTTCCAGCCTTGTCCTGGACTTTCTGGGGGCTTTGCTCATGTCCGTGTCCTCTGTGGACCTGTTTTCCCACAGTTAGGATGGGGTGGGCAGCTCAAGCTCAGAGGCTCTGTCCAGCTTGGAGATTCTCGGGTGGAAAGGAGATTTGCCGTGCAGAGTGGGCCATTTGCTCCCGGCATGGCTGAGCCAGGAGAAGTAGCAACTGCCAGCAGGATCTGCACATGGCTTCAGATCTGTTGTTTTTGGAGAGTGGATTCATAAGAGTGGAGGCGAGTCTCCCTTTGCCCTGACTTTACTGCTGGCCTATCCTTACAAATTCACCAGCCCAGAGGAGACCAGGATGGGAGACCCTGGTCAACGTTCATTTCTTCACTCTTTCATTCTTTCATTCACACAGCAAGCTCAAAACCTATTACACGCTACCAGAGACACAGCGATGATTAAGTGGTGCCCCACATCTGAGGCGAGCATGGGAGACAAAGCCAGCACGACTCACTGACCGCAGTGTGGGGAGCAGTACAGAGGCAGGGAGGAGAGGAGGAGGCTGGGACTGGGATACTGCCAGTGGGCACGGACAGAGTGGATGTGTGTGAGGTCTTTCTGGTGGCCTGTCAACAGGATTGACTGGGGACTGACTACATTTTGGAGATGGGAGAAGCTGGCACTGGGCATGATGCCTGTGTGCTGGCCTGGTGCTGGGGTGGACCTCTGTGCCCCCACAGACCTAGGGTTTCAGGAAAAAGAGGTTAGTGTCCACGGCTGCCCTCACTGCTGTGATTTTCACTGTTAGACTTTCCTGCTTTCTCGCTCACAGACAGAGCTGGCGGTAGCTACCCTCAGCCCCGGGAGACTCTGCTCCTGGGTCCTGGGCAGGCAGGACTACTCAGGTGGGGTGTGTGGAATGAGGGCCCCTCACTGACTGCACTCTCTGGGGGCTCCCCCTAGGCGTGGGGAGGAGCCTGGGGGCTGGATGACTCAGGGTGGTTCCCCACTTGGAGTCTACTGGCGGCTGTCCCAGAGCAGGATGCCCTGCCCTGATGTCTATAGGAGGGAGGGCGGATGAGGCAGTTGGATGGTGGGGGAGCCGGAGGGGGCTCTTCCCTGCACAGTCCTCAAAGCTGTCCTGACTCACACCGAGCTCCCAACAGGTGCCCTGCAGCTGGAGAGTGGCTTACCCTCTCCATGCTGCCAGTCAAGGTCTTGCTCCTGCCTCTAGACCCCCTACAGGAATCCCTCCCCTCTCTAAAACCCATGGCTGAATAGCTCTGGAATCCTAGATGGCCCAAGTGAGTCCTGGCTCCTCCTATTCAGATGAGTAAACCAAGGCTACAAGAGGGAAAGAGACTTTCTGGAGGCCGCAACAGGCCATGGCAGAGATCCCGCGTGAACCCAGAACTCTTTCTGCCTAGCTGCTGTGCCTTAAAGGGGCTTTCCCGGGAGGACTGTATCTACTTCTGAGCCCCTCCCCTGTGTCTCTACTACATGAGGGCTGCAAAGGAGGGACGAGGCCCAGCAGATGTGCCCCTGGCTCTTGCCCTTAGGGGTGAATGTTCAAACAGTGGACATATCCCATTACAAAACCAGGACATCCACAAGGGCCCTTGTAGGTTAGACTGCTCGCCATGGAGGGTGGCATGAGGGTGGCAGGAGGGGAAGGGAACACAGCGGCACCAGGTGTGGTAAGCATGTCCAGGAGCCATCTCATTAATTCTCACAATGCAGGAAGTGAGTTCTGGCAACCCAAATTGTGGGTAACATGAGCAAGAAATAAATGTCTGTTGCTGTAAGTTACTGAGCAAAAGCTGGTTAGTAACAGGAGGCAAACACAGTATCCTGGTCCCAATGTAAACAAGTGTTACTGGCAGGGACAGCCATATAGAAGGGAACGAAGAGTGTGGGAGGACAGGAAAAATGAAAGGAAAAGGAACAGGGAGAGAAGTGCTAAGTGAGCCCTGCACCTGAACATCTGGACTCCCCTTTGCACGAGGAGGCCTGGTCCCCCAGAAGAAAGCATCAAGTTCATGGTTCCACATGTGACAATCACACTTACACCCAGTATCATCATCATCATGATGATCATTGCAGCTGCTTTTCTGAGTTCCTACTATGTGGCAGGTTGTTTTTAAAATATCATCACTAATCTTTACAACTATTCTACAAAGTAGATATTTTCAGTTCATCAAATAGTTATTGCTATCACTGCCCATTTATATACGAAAGAACTGAGTCTTTGAGAAGGTACCAGCCAAGGTGATGCGGTTGGGCTGAGTTCTGGAGCCAGGACTGTGGGACGCCAGAGCCAGCCTCTCCCTCTGGGGCCACATGGGCTTCACAGCCTTGCTCCTGGCTCTGTGGGTGGGCCTGAGGCTGGGCTGGGCAGTGGGAGCTGCCTTTAGTTCTGGGCTCTCACAAGGCTGCCTGGGGCATGAAGGCACCACAGAAATTACCTTGGCCATGGCAGGGGTCATCACTCCCCTTTCCCATGGGGACCATTATGGAAGAACCCTTGACCCGACTCAGGAGAACTGCTTTGGGTCCCTGTGCTGCTGCTAAGCACTGTGTGGCTTTTCCTGCCCCATCCTGGGCCTCGACTTCTCCCTCGATGAAGTAAAGGTTAGGGGAGAGCCAAGCAAATCTCCTAGGATTCTGCAAACAATCCCTTCCCCACACTGGCCCAAACCTGCTCCGAAGGCAAAGAAGCAGATCTTGTCCTCGTTCTCCCGTAGAAGCGCCATGACCCTCTTCCCCATGCGCTCATTCCTCTTGTAGATGAGCTCCTGGCGGAAGTAGCTGTCAATCTCCTGGGCCGTCACCTGCTCGTGTGGCGGGAGGGTGGTGTTGATAAAGTTGGGCAGCTGCAAAGGCAAGACAGAGGCTGCCTTCAGTTTTTTTTTTTTTTTTTTGGATAAAGGGTCTTACTGTCACCCAGGTTGGAGTACAGTGGCTCACTGCAGCCTCAACTCTCTGGCTCAAGCCATCCTCCTGCCTCAGCCTCCCAAATACATATGCACCACCATGACCAGCTAATTTTTAAATATTTTGTAGAGATGGAATCCCACTATGTTGCCCTGGCCAATCTCAAACTCCTCCTGGCTCGAGCAATCCTCCCGCCTTGACCTCGCAAAGTGCTGGGATTATAGGCATGAGCCACTGTGCATGACCTGCTGTCAGTTCTTTATGGAGCAAGGTGGACTTAGGATAAATATGCACAGCCCCAGTGGGGCTAGGCAACTTCCTTTTATGCGGACCCTACAGTGGGCTACATGTTTTGTACATGTTTCTCATCAATTCCAAAATCCTCTCAGATAAGCATTGTTATTCCAGTTTTACAGATGAAGCAAGCAAGTGTGGAAAGGATCCAGGGATGTGCAGAGTTGCACAACTAGTGAATTGGCAGCGCCAGGATAAGGCCCAGCTGCTGGGCTTCCACATGTGTTGCTCTGCGTCGTGTCTCTGCCCTGTTTAACCTCAGCAGATGCTGAGGTCTGGGGAGGCTGGCACGGTGCTCATCTTGTTGACTGCTCTCACTTCACCACCGAGCCCAGTGCTGGCAAGTACAAGGAATTTAGTTCAGCAAGAGGATGTGCAGAGTCAGTTGAGCTGCCTAATACAGCAGGAAGGCCACTGAGTACAAGATTAAGCTCACCCCCTGTTCTGATGCTGTGTGGCACCGGGTAAGTTACTTAACTTTTCCGAGTCCCAGCTTTGTCACTTGTAAGATGAAACTGATGATACTGTGTGGATTCAGTAAGAGGATGGGGGCTGTCATGGGCTGCATTCAGCACATGCCACCTTACAGAGATGAGAGAAGGGATCATCACTTTTGATTTTCCCAATGCCTGAGCCACCATCTGCTGCCACCACCAACTCCCCATCCCTGCACCACCACTTTCCAGGACATAATGCAAACACCTCCATCCGTTTTTGAATACCTCAACCCCAGGACCCCGGCTTCCCCCATGTTGGTTTGCTCAACAACCTAGCTTGGAGCTGCTTAGGTGTTTTGCCATCACGCCACACTATACGCCCAGCCACACGGCCTGGGAACAGCATTAACAGGGTCTTGAACTAGGCAGAGAGCTCCCTGGGTTCAGGGACAGAGCTTTTGTCATTCCTGGCCCCCAACACCCAGCACAGAGAAGGTACCCAGATTCCTTGAACCTTGAACTTAAAGTTGTGCTGTCCCTTTCTGACCACAGTTGCCCCACTGTGTTCTTCTATTCCCAACATTTTGTCTTTCCAACCTGGATAACAGGCCAGGTGCTCCTGCACTGTCTCCTCCAATATGTGCATGGGGCTGTTGAGGAAATTGAGGCAGGGAGTCAGAACATACTCTCTCTTTCCTCACAACCTGTCAATGTCATTCCAACCTCCAAACTCCTGCTCACAGGATGGTTTCCACCTGATGTCCCCTCTTCCACTTCTCTATCTTCACCTACCCAGGCTCAAAGCACAAGATACCAGACCTTGCAAACTGAAGGGTGAGGTGGATGGAGAGCCTGGCACGAGGAGGTTAATTTCCTACAGGTTTAAGTCCCCAAATTGTCCTGCAGCCTAGCCACATGGCTTCTAGAGCCACTGCAGTGTTGTCAACACTCCTTCTGAGGAAAATGGAGTCAATGGAGGCTGAACCCTAAGGGACTCTAAGGAGGCTAGGATATTTGCCTCTGCTATCTGCTGGCTAAGGCTTAGTGTCTTCCCCAGAGTGAGAGGAGAGGTAAAGGTACATGCACCTTGGGGCTTCTCTGCCAGAAAGGCCTGACTCACTGCTCTGGGATGAACAAGACAATAACATGGCTGACGTCCCCTAACCTTGTGCAGTGCGCAACCTGGATAGCTGTAGACAGCAGTCTTGCTAGTGCCCAATCAGAGTTGGCAATGGAATTCTTACTCCCCCACATACCCCCTTTGAAAGTGATGATTGGAAACCCTAACACAACAGGGCATGCTTGAACTTGATGCAGCTATGGGGAACACTGAAGGCTTCTGAATGCGGAGAAGTGCAGAGAGCCCATGGGGAGGAGTTATTTCTGGAAATATGACTCTCACAGGTTCTCCCCGTTCTTTAGGTATGGAAAATAATGTGAAAACTATGTTGTACCACCAAATAAGTACTTGTCCAATCAGTGAATGAATGAGTGAGCTGAGGGGCCTTAGAAGTATGGGGTTATGAACGTAGGGCCTGAAGTCAGACAGTGAGGACAACTTGTGTTAGAATCCCTCTTTTGCAGCTTACTAGCTGAGTGGTCTCTCTAGAACCAAAAAGTGACTTGGCCTCTCTGAGACTAAGTTTCCATATTGGTAACAGGGGGTAACACACATTATTGTAGGGATTAAATGATTGAATTTTGGAAAGTGCTTACTGAGCACTGTGCCTGGTATAAAGGAAGTCCTGAATCAATGTCAGCTATTATACAACTGGCCTGGGGATGGAGCTGGCTTCATCACCTTTCCCAGTGAAGGGTGGCCTTGGGCAGAGGGTAAAGATGAAGATGACAAATAAATGGCTCTGAACCATCGGAGAGTACCACGAAGGCGGCAGTCCACTTCCCCTCTCCTTCCAAGGGTCCCTGGAACCTGAACACATGTCCAGCCCCCCCTCCTATGCTTCCTGACCACAAATGTGCATGTGCACAAAGATGATTCCCCATTTATTAATTGGGGAGTCAAAAAAATTAACAAGGACAAGAACCCAAAAGTGAAAGTTTAAAGCCATGAAGGAATTGGGCTAGCTCCCCAGGCTCCCAGGGCTGGCCAGCCACTGGCCAGCAGTCTCTGCTTGTTTCATGCTGATGGGCCTTGGCTCCATGCCAAGGATGAGGCCTGGGTTTGGGCCAGGGCTGGAATGGAAGCAAATTAATGATGTCATTATACTTGTTGAGGGCCTTAAATCTTCTATGACAAGTTTAAGTGCGTGATGCACAATAACATTTTAAAGAGGACATGTGAGGTCTCCAGGGATGGGGTGATGAGGCGATTGGTTGGACAGGGCTGGGGTGGGGCTGTGAGAAATGAATTCAGTGTAGTCTTCCCTGACCCATGAACCACGTCAGGTCTAATGGTCAAATGCTCAGGTCTGCAGACACCACCTACTGAAACTCTGCACCCCTTCCCTGTAGCCCATCCATCCAACAGACACCCAGTGGGAACTTCCATGAGCCGGGCCCTGTGTTGGGCTAGGGGTCCTGAGAGCTTCTTCAGACTGGATCTGCTGCTCTGGATGAGGCTCACAGTTTGATGGGGGAGTCACATATGCACACAAGAACATCGATGAATTCGTGCTTTGAGAGGACAACGAGGAATGTGTGAGCCCAGAGGAGGCACCTAATAGGGTAACCACATGTCTTGGTTTGACCAGAACAGTCCAGGTCGATGATTATTTTGATCTTGAATTGTATCCGACTCTCAAAATTATCTGGGTTTGGACAATAAATGCATGCAGCAACTCTATACCTAAGGCAGTCTTGAGGCTCAGGCCAGGCTTCCAAGGGGAAGGCCTTTGGATCATCCTGCTGTTGCTAGGCATTAACAGTGCCAGTGGCCTGGGGGCTGCAGAGGCCAGGGATGCAGCCATTGCTGCAGGTGGGGACAGTGCAGCCAGGATGCAGGCCAAGGGTGAGGTGCCCCTGTCCCCTGTCCCAGTGTTGTCCACCCAGGCCTGTACCTGTCCTGCCCTGGCCTCCAGATGTTGCTTCCTCATCCTCCATGTTATAGCCAGAGGCATCTTTCTGACCACATTGCTCTCTGGCTTGCACTCTCCACCCTTCAGCATCCCCTCTTTACCCCCATCTAGCGGACTCTACTGCCAAGCCTGGTTCTCATATCACCTTCTCCCTGAAGCCTTCAGGTAAAGGGATTGTGGCTCCACAGCCTCCATATCCTCAGTGCCCTGCAGATTTCGAGGCCCCCAGCTACAGACACAGCCTCACCTCCACCAGATCCCCTTGGGGACCGGATTCAGCCTTGCTGCCCTGACACCAGGCTTTTCTGCACCGTGGGGTGGGGTTGCCTAGTCTCTCCTCAGGCTACTAGATTCTATCTGTGCATCCCTAGGGTCAGCCTGGGCTGCTCTTCGAATCCAGGTGGCCCAATCCATCCACGCTCTGTCCCACTTCAAGTATGGGAACTGTCGGGAGACCTCTGAGGCAGTTCCACTTGCCAAAGACAAATCAGTGGTCTGGACCCAAGCTCAAAGAAAATCTGAGCTTGCCTTCTCCCGAGGTCACCTCATGCCTCCGTTTCTCAGCTTAGGGTCAGCCACAGTCTGGCCAGCACCCTGTCCTGCACACTCCCGCCCTCCTGGCCACATCATGGCCAGACCATCCCGTCATGACCAGGGCCTCCTTTGCCATAGAGCTCCCTGGCTGCTCAGGACTCACGGGGGTCTCCCTCAGCAGATGAAGCAGGGTGGGCCTGGCCATGAAGGCGGTCACTCGTAGTGAGATTCCTAAGAGCCTCGTGGTGTCAGGGCTCTTCTCTCCACCCTCACTTCTCTGCCACTGAGTCAGAGCTCTCGGACCCTGAGTGTCCTGTGGCAAAGTCTCCAGTTCCTTCCTCTTTCATTCTCTATGCTGCAGCAAGGGACGCCGCATGCCTACATTGGCTCGGATGACAGTCACTCACTGACATGTGCTCTGTGCCAGGCCTAAGCTGGGCAATGGGGACCGAGATAGGCAGCATACCATCACCCTCAGGAGTTCCTGGTCTTGTGGGGGCAAGTACTGATGGAACACCACGGCCCGGCCTGGCTCTGTCTGCAGGCTACACTCTCAGCACCCCTCTCCTATTCTCCTCTCGCCTCTGGCTCACTGGTGCATGGTTTCCTCTGCTGGAACATTATTCGCCCCCTTGTCTGTGGCCAGCTCAGGTTCTTACATGCCCTCTCATCTTGCAAATATCTTTCCTTCTCTCCCCAGTCCCAGGCCCTACCCATAAGCCCATCTAAATCAGCCGTTCCTTCCACAGGCTCCAAATGCTTCCTCTACTCCATACTCACAGCAAGGATTACACTTTGGTGCAATTCATTCTTGAATCTCCCCATCTTCCCTATGTGACTGTAAGCCCTTTTTCATAGCACTATGTCTAGCATTTATAAACTATTTCATTCATTCATTCATTCATCCATTCATTCATTCATTTGGCAAAGGTTTACTGAGTCCGGCTCTGGGCCAGGGGCTACTCCAGACAGTTGAGATAAATCCATGAATAAAACAGACCAAACTCCCTGCCCTCATGGAGCTTATGTTCTAGTAAGGAGAGCAACCAATAAATAGTCACTAATCAATGAATCAAGTAGATAGTGTGTTAGAGGATGGCAAAGGCCATGGGGAAAAAAAGTGGAGCATAATAAAGAGGGTGAGAGTGTGGGCGTGCAGGCCAGGTTGCAATTCTGAGTGGGGTGGTTGGGGCCAGCCTCATTGAGATGATGAGATTTTAGTTAAGTGCTGCAGGCAGAGAGGGAGGGAGCCATGGTCATACCCAGGAGAGGCATTCGGCAGAGGGAGCAGCCAGTGCAAAGGCAGAAGCTGGTGAGATGGGTTCACAGACCAGCAAGAAAGCCCATGCAGCCTAAGTGGTGTGCAGGGGGGAGAGCAGAAAGTGACAGGGTAGGGAGAGAGCATGGGGGCCATGTAGGCCATCGCAGAGACTCTGGCTTTCACCTTGATAAAAATGGGAAGTCCATGCAATGTCCTGAGCAGGGAAGTGGCGTGTTCTGCCTAATTCAACAGCTTCTTGAATGAGCAGGTATTCAAGCACCATGACAGAGGAGGCACAAGGGCCTAGAGGTGCCTGGGAGAATGCCTGACCCTATCTAGGGGCTCAGGAAGGTTTCTCAGGAGGTGACGTATGACTATGACCAAGTGGGAGGAACCCTGGAGGAGAAAGGAGCCTGAACAAAGGCCTAGAAGCTTGAAAAGACAAGCTTCTAGGAAGAGTTGCAAGTTCCACAGTCAGCAGAGCAAGGTCTTTAGGATGGGGGACCTGGGCTGTGACAAGGCAGCAGAGGGCACGTTGTAAGGTCCTTGAATGCTGGAGGAAGCATCTTGGAATTCACCCTGAGAGCAATGAATGGGCAGGCATGGTGTGGTCTGAGCAGGGGTGAGCCATGCTCAGCCCCTTGGGCTCTACTTGCTGCCCGACCAGCTGGCGACAATCTTTCCTCTAAGACTCAAATCAAAGCAGAATGCTCTGGGCTGGACTCAAGTCCAAGCTCTGAGTAACTGTGGGCTTTTCCTTCCCTGGAACTTAATTTTCCCAGAGGTAGAACTGAACTTCTCAGAGGCCTCCTTGGTCTTACAAGCTACATTTCCAGGGTCCTAGGCCCCAGAGTCACATAGATCTGGCTCAAGTTGCTGCTCTTGGTAACTTAAAACTCCCAAAACTCATAAGCCGTGTGGCCTTGGACAAATCTCATCTCTGAGCCTCAATTTCCCTATTTATAAAAGGGGGATAACGATAGCTCCTTTCTGCCATGGCTGGAGAGAAGATTACCTATGCCTGGCATGTAGTAGGGATCTAATAAATGCCAGGTATCCAGGTCTTTGGAGAGAAGCCTCACCTGGGATGTGTCGTGGTTGAAGATGACTGCGCTGAGGTCTCCGCAGTTGTAGTGCTTGATGAGGTCCTCCGTGGTGTAGGAGGCCTGCAGGCTCCCGGCCCGCACACTCTCCTGCTGCAGCAGGGTTTGATTCAGGGCAAACAGCACCTGGGCCGAGGAAAGAGAGAGGAATGAGGGCTGTGCTCAGTGACCCTGGCTGAGCTCTAGGACTGGCCTCCTCCCTCTGGACTTCAGAGCAACAGGCCTGAAACAGAGAAGGTGTGTGGGGCCGGCACCAGCTGGCTCAGGCTGCGTGTTTCCAGTTTCTGTTCCTGCCTCACGTCTCTGAGCACGTTCAGCCTGCTCTCACCTCCAGCCCTTTGCCCACACGGGTCCCCACTCCTGCTCTGGTCTCAATATCTTATTAAAGACGCGGCAAAATGAGAACCCAACTTGTGTCTGGGTTTTGGAATGACGGGTGAGTTTTTCTTTTGACTCCTTTGTGTTCCTGTGCTTAAAAGTGCTCTAGAATGAGCATGAACTAATTTTGTAGTCAAGAGCATCCTGCAAACAAAGCAAAAGGACAAAAACAAAATGCCCGGTTGGATATCAAGGCCCAACCTAAAGGCTGCCTGCCCTGGAAGCCTTCCTCACCTAGGGAAAGGCCTGAGGAGTTGGGTGCCTGAGCATCTGATCTATCCTTGTATTCAGCATGCAGGTCCTCAATCTCCTCTGTCCTCCGGGCCACCATGCTTGTGCCCAGCCAAACCGGTGGGTGTCAGGAACACTTGGAGTGCTAGACAAAATGTCAGATGCCCAGACCTCGCCTTCTGGGATCAGAGGCTCTGTATTTTTAACAGGATCCCTGCACACTTCCTAAGCAGTCTGAGGATCATGGCTCTAATGGAACTCGACCTGCTCATTTTAGATGGAGACACTGAGTCCCAGGGAAGGGAAGGGAAGGGAAGGGAAGGGAGGGACTTGCTCAATTCACACAGCTAGGCCTGGAGCTAGTTTTAGGTGACAAAGTATCCCAGACTCCTTTGGCCAACAGAAGGGAGGAGACTGGTCATTATTTGGGCTATTTAATACAGATAAAGAGAAAAACTTGGTCCCTGTGCAGAAAGTCAGGAGGGAACTGGTCCCTGCTGTTAGCCCAGCCTAGCCCTGTCTTTAGGCCCTGATCATTCTGTCTGCAGAATGCCTTGGACGTCAAGTTCCCAGCGTCGCCACTCACCTCAATTCAGGCCCAAGCATCTCTCGTTGAGTCCCCTGCAACAGTCCCACCCATCTCCTGGCACACCCCCTCCCTTCTCTTCTATACCACAGTTGTCTGTCATGGTCATCTTTTAAACGCACAAATCTGATGATCTCTCTCTCTCTCTTTTGCTCAAAATGTTCACAGGTCCTTCCTGCCCGCAGGCTAACGGGCTAGCTCTTCAGTAGAGCCTCCAAGGCAGTAACCTGGACCTGCTGTGGTCAATAGCCTCATTTCTTAAGTGGCCTTCATGCCTCCAAATACTAAAATGCTCAGCATTCCTTCAAGAAAACAACAACGAAAACAACAACAACAGCAACAACAACAACAACAAAAAACCTCTGCCTTTGTGCCTCTGTATATGCTGTTCCATGGGGAAATCCGGCTCCCTCCAGTCTCCACTTGCAAACTCAGACTTAGCTGTCCAGACTCTGCTCAGCTGTCTCCTCCAGGAAACTTCTCTGACCACCTGGGGGCTGGGTTAGGCCCCTCCCTGGGGCTCCCACAGTCTCCATGGGTGGTAAACTGATAGATTAATGGCCCTAAACCTTAGCCCCTCCCTGTATTCGTGCCCTTTCCATGGAACTTTGTAGCTCCTTTCCATTCTGACCCTGGACATCCTTCAGCCAATGGGATGCTAGTAACCATTGCAAATGCAGGCCTGAAAAGCAGTTATGTGGTGCTGCTGCTGCTGCTGCTGCTGCCTGCACCTCTGCCACTGCCCTGAGAACAATCCAGGCTAGCCGGCTGGATGATGAGCGACATGTGGGGTGGGGCCGTCCAGCCAAGGCCGTCCTCCACCAAGATCAGCCAACAGCCTGCCAATCCCCAGACATGCGAACCAGCCCAGCCAAGATCAGCACAGACTATTCACAATTGGCCCCAGATGCGTGAGTGGAAAACTCTTATTGTTATTGTTACACAGCATAGTTGTGGTGATAGATAACTGATACACCATGCTTCCTTCCACCATGGAGTGAACATTATATTGTATTTGCTGCTTAGCTACCAGCCTCCCATATTAGGCTATGAGCTTCTTCAAGACGGGAATTGTGTCCTGTTCATTTCTGAATCTGCAGCACTCAGCACTGTGCCTGGTGAAGACAGAGTGTCACTTCATTGTTCTTAATTTCTTTGACACCTGCTATGGTCACTTCATAGTTCAAGGCTGCTCACTGAGTCCTTAAATCTAGCCCTTACAGCTTCTGCACTCTGCATTTTGAGGCATGCCACCACTTTGTGACAGAAGGTCCCAGCAAGTGGCAGCAGTCACTTGGTTCAAGAACATATATTCTGACCAGAAAAGCTCATAAAATAGGTGTGCACAGCCAGGCCAAAGTATAACAGAGGCAACAGCGCCAAGCGTGTGCTTGTGAGATCACCTCCCTCCCCTCTCATTTTTGTTCATGGCTGGGCAGGAGTGCTAGATTGCACTGGATGCAGCCCAGGCTACTCCCCGTAATGAGCTAGCTGGAGATGAGGTCAGCCCCCACCACCCCCTTCCCAAAACTCTACCTCTGGGCCTTCTCCAGGCCTCTAGGCTCTGGCCGCCACCACTGAAATCTGATATGTAGCCATCTGGTGCAGGGTGTCGATGGCAGCATGGTGGCTGGGGATGGATCACAGGAGGCAGTGGCCCTGTTGCTGTGGGCATTGCTAAGGCAACAAGCACTTCCCCTCACACGGCACATGCCTCAGATGAAAGTGTCCATGTCGAGTTGATCCGCTCTCCTCCTCTGGGGGCCTGGGATACAGGCTTCCCGTGACTGCACTTGGCCACTGCACACACCTGCCCCCTTGCTTCTAGGTGTCGGCTTGGCCAAGGCACCACCTGACCTGTGGTGAGGTCATTGGCCCAGGCACCCAGAAGACCTGACTGGAGGAGAAATGTCTCCCCAGGACCTTGCTTGACTCACAGTTGCTTCTGTAATCATGCAGCCATCACAGAGCTAGAAGGTGTTCCAGTGAATTTAGTATGTTATTATCTGTGGGGTGCTAAAAACAGTCCTGGCATGTAGTAAGTACTGGATAAGTGTTTGTTAAATAAAACGGAGAGGAAAATAGACCCAAAGCTTCCCAGATTGGAGCTGGAAGAGCCCTGGAGGTCATTTGGTCCAGAGGCTTTTCAGGCCTTTTAAAGCCATGTTCTTGCTGTTGTTTTCCAAAGGAACCTTACTTAGAACTCAAAATATGGAGAAGGTAAAAATAGAAACTTCCCTGGTTGATGTAAGGGAGGCAGGCGGGCGCCTGAAGTCTCACTAACTCAATGTTCCCATGCAGTAGGGACTCCCAAGGCCTTTCTGTGGAACCCACGGGTACCCTGGAGCCTAGTTTGAGAACCACTGATCTCATCCTGTGGCCTCATCATATTAAAGAGGAGAGGAGGCTGAGGTCCAGAGCAGGCAGAATGGGGCTTGCCTAAGGCCACACAATGAGAGGGACAGAGTGGACTCAACCCCAACTCTTAACTCCTGGTCCAGAACTCTGCAGGGCCCTGGACCACATGGCTGGATTTCCAGATGTCCACAGGCACAGCCCACATTGATCCACACACACTGCCACACCCTTTTTTTTTTTTTTTTTCTAGAGCCTTGTGAAATAGCCAGGGAATATGTACTGTTAGTCTGTTACTAATAAGTCTGTTATTAATAGTCTATTACAAAGATATAAAACAGAGGCCAGACTGCTTATGAGGTCTTCCCATGTGTCCCAGTAGGAGTGTGGTGGGGCCAGGAATGAAATCCAAGCCTATCATCCTGATTCTCCCTACCTGGGTGGGGTTTGGTGTCTTCCAAAGACCCCTGTCCTTCTTTTGCTCTAGGCACTTACCCCACTGAATTGTCCCTGTTCACTGCCTCTCTGTTTCCTGCTGGATCCCAATGTCTCCATTAGCAGACATTCAGGAAGCACTGCAAGAAGAGGGATGCTGATCCAGAATCATGTGCACTTTCCCTTATACCTCCTGCCTCGTACCATCCTTCTGCAATTTATACAGAAGTCTTCATCCATTCATTACTAGGATTACTATGTTTATTGAGCACTTACTATGTGTCAGGAACTTTCTGAACTCACGTTCACTTATTTAATCTTTACAGCAACTCGGAGGTAAGTCTATTATTAGCTCCATTTAATTAAAAAAAAAAAAAAACTGCAGCAAAGAGACATCAAGCACCTTGCCAAAGGTGACAAAGCTAGAGAGGGATGGACCAGGCATTTGGGCCAGGCCTGGAATGTATCCTCCTAGTTAATCACTACCCTGTAGGCCCTCCTTCTGCTCTCCCTGGAAGAGAGCCAGGAGGGATGTTGTCCCTAGTCACAGATGGGAAACCAAAGAAGCAGAAGGGAGTGATGGGCACAAGGCCACACAGCTGGTAAAGGACAGGGCTGGGGTTTGAAATTACGTCTGGCACCAGACCAGGTTCTCACAACCAGGACTTCAGCGCGGTATGTGCTCCTTCACGAGCATCCTTGGTGCTTCCAACAGACAGAGGGACGCTACATCCATTCATTCACAAACATTTACTTTCAGCTCTTCTCTGCAGGGATTTGAGATTAGTAGATTAATTGGACTTGGCTTCTGTCGGTGCAGAGCTCATTTTAGAGGCAGATGTGCCAACTGGCTGGCACAGCAAGGGTGGTAAGTACACAGGCTTCATAATGAAGCGCCTGGCCCTGCCTCCTGCCTCCCTTTCACTCACCCTGAATTCCCAAGCCTGGTGTTGCTCAGACTCGGGATGTCTTCTGCTCCTGGCCACCTTAGAATAACAAACCTTCTTTGCATGTAGCCGCGGTGGCCCACTCTAGGATAATGTTTATGATAAGGCTTTGACATGGAATAACAAACATTGGGTGAAGGCTAGAGCTGCCTCTCTCCCCCTGGATGATTGTGTGGAGGCCCAGCCACCAGGAG